AGCATGCATGGTTTAACACAATATGAATTGAAGTATGTTACCTTTAGGACACAATGTTGAAGCTGCATAATCAGTATACGCTCAAACGTTCTAGTTTTGTTACGGTGAAATTATTTACTTATACTAAGTTTCTCTGTTTTACCCTTTTTGGGACTTAAAACAATTTTGTACCTTTCCACATTCTGAATGTGTTCTCAAACTTTTTCTACAAGTAGTTGCGCGCTGTATGATGACAAGTCACTCCACAATGGCATATAGGCACAGCTATTAAGTAGAAAAGTAATAGTATAGCTGTAGTAGGCAGGTGTAGTTAATTGACTTATTATTTCGGAGCAATTTTTAAATACCGCTGGTTATAACGTACCGGTACTGATTTGTGTTATTGTTGTTTTCTTCAGTCATGCATGTTGCATGTATGGATTCATGGTTATACTACTGTATAACGGAATAACCATGAATCTCTATACCAATTTCAAATACTGTGGATTGTGTTTTCAGAAATCTGCCTATCATCAGGCTATACATGTACATGACGATCTTTTGCAAAATTACTGGGGGAAATATGCTGAAATACAATTTTCGGTCATGTTATTTTCGTATTTTCTTGAGTGCATGGCCAAGACTCCTTGGAGCCCCATGGGATCCTCATCTTTCCCGCAAATTCCCAAGGATATCTGACTAAACAACTGAAAGGTGAATCTCGCCAATTTTCTCAAAGGACCAGTCCACAGTTTGTTGTCTTCGCTACCTACACTGGTATACCCACCATTCCAAATTTGCCGATAGACCAGACCTCTTTTATAAGAAAACCAGACCTCTTTTATAAGAAAACAGGTCTGGTTATCTCAACAAGGAACCATCTGCCGTTCTTATATTGCAGCCTATGGCAACAAGATACAGTATATTCGAGCGGAAACTTTTAAATTTTGTTTTTATCAACATTCAAGGTCTATCCATTTGAATATGCGTACACAGAAGAACACCATTCTTTACTTCAAGTTGGTCGAAATATAACCTATATAAAATTATTGGCTCGGGAGTTTTTTAAAGAATCTCAACAAGATACTCGACCGTTCTTTCTGTACATTGGTTTTCATGATCCTCACCGTTGTGGACACACAAATCCTGAATACGGTTAGTAGCTACCTTAACTGCAAATGTCATGTCATAATTACACAATAGCAAAAATTATTTGTAGGCCAGCAGCCAATGAAAACGGAGATTGTAAAGGTAATGCGTATAATACATGTTATCTCTAACTCAAAATTTTGAAAATTACTGTTCTTGCAGAAAAGCCTCGTGTCTTAGTTATCAACTTTGACATGATTAGAACATTATGTTCAATCACGCTTTGGTCGTGTACGATTCGTATTCTGCACTGGGGAAAAAATGTGAAATCCATACTATGAGATTTGCAATTGAAATTACTAAATCCATAGTATGTCCAACTATTTCGATACTATATCCATAGTGTGGAAATATACAATTATTATGGATAATCAAAAATCCATTCTATTTCCAATAAAGGTCCATACAATTTCCATTCTATGGATTTCCAAAATGTTTTCCAGTACTGGCGTATGAAATTTACTGCTGACGCCACAATTCCTCTTCATTCAGATTCAAATGCAACCACTTTACGTGTGCTTATTCGATTACATACGCCAGAATACGAATCGTACACGACAAATCGCAGCGTGTAAACGTACCTTAAATTTATACAGTGAATACTGTTTTACAACTTTTTAGGGCAATTCTGTGAGAAATTTGGCAATGGTGAGCCCGGCATGGGAATAATAGAAGACTGGAAACCAACCCATTACGATCCTTCGGATGTTGTTGTTCCATATTTTGTTCAAGATACTATCGCTGCAAGACAGGACCTGGCAGCACAGTATACAACTATCAGCAGACTGGATCAAGGCGTTGGTTTAATACTGGATGAATTAAAAAGCTCTGGCTTTGAAGATTCTACGTTAGTAGTGTACAGTTCAGATAATGGAATACCGTTTCAAGTTGGTAAGGGTTATTATGATGAAGATAAGAACCACGCACTGCACTGCAGTACATAGCATTGCGTTACGTTACTTGCGTTACATACACTACATACACAGTACGTTACGTATATACTTAAACATTACAGGGGAGGTTCTATAAAACTCTTAACTACTTTTTAACTAGTATCCATTTTTTAGTTAATTATTAGTGGTTAACTTTAATATGGTTGTATAAAAATGTAGTTAGCGTAGTTAAAACTGCAGTTAAAACGTCGTTATACCGTAGTTAACTATCCTCTATGGAGTATCGTCAGGGGCGTACATTCTACAGCCAGTGGCGGCGGAACAGATTTTATTTTGGGAAGGCTAATCAGTTCCAGCTAAGTTGGGAACCATATAGTTAAGATTTTCAGCCAAGTGCAAACACGATACGCAAAACCTGATTGAACTGTAAAATTTGCAAAATCGAGGCTCGGAATTGCCATTTTCTGCACGTTCCGGCACCGAGTAAAGAATTTGGATGAAAAATTCTCCTGTCTACACCAGACATTTGCGGCTTGTGGATTAAACATTTCTCATAGCAGAAATTCGGGACCGACTTTTAATACAGTCTCAAACAAAACTGGGACCGACGTTTTGAGAATTTTCGAGTGTTGGGGGGGGGGGTTATACACCCCACACCCCTCTCTAATGTGCGCTCCCGGGTGTCGTTAACTTCTCAAAATGTAGTTAAAAATGGTGCTCTTATAGACTTAGGAGTGAACAACATTTTTCAGTAAGACAATAATGAAAAGCAGCGCTTACCTGGGATTTTCAATCACTATCTTCCCTTCATGTGAATGTTTTCAGTGATGTTTTCTGACAGTTATAAACTCTTCAAACGCTATATCGCTTTGGGTTTTGGGCGGAAACAGAATATATTTTTAGCAGGAAGATTTGTCGAAGACGGAGTAGGACCTATTACACGAAGAAACACTGATATTCTGTATAATTGCCAAACAGCTACACTTTAGATTAATGTAGACATCTTACGAAAACGGTGCCTTCTTCTTTGATTTTTGTCTTGTTTTCTTGTTTATTTTTCACTGTTGTGAAAATTATTATTTGCAAAATACGAGTCCACAATCATGTTAAAAATGCTTGTCAGCGGTCGTTAATCACTTCTTACTTTATGTAATTTTGTGTTTAAACGCCTCACGCACACACAATCCAACTAACTACGTTTTGTGCAACGCAAATGCAACGCAATTGATGTTAGCTAATGTAGTTAGCTAATTACACTTGATGATTTAACTACAGTAGTTAACGCTAACTATAGTTAACTTTAACTACGTTTTTATACAACCAGTATCAGTACGTTACATTACATTACATCGTGTAATATATATACTGAACATCGCGAAAATTAGGCTATTGTTATTTTTCGTATAAAGGTCGCACAAACTTGCAAGAACCAGGAATGAGTGAGCCGTTGCTTGTCTCAACACCTTTCCACGAAGAATACTGGAACACCCGAAGCGATGCTCTGGTTAGCTTACTGGACATTACACCAACCGTCTTAGACTGGTTCAACATTACGTATCCTACATACAAGATCTTTGGTCCCAATCCAGTCAACCTGACTGGCAATACACTCCTACCATTATTGCAGGAACGTGAGTCACGTGTCCAACAAGAATGGGACACTGTATATGCAAGTCACAGTCTCCATGAGATCACAGGATACTACCCAATGAGGGTCATAAGAAAACAGAGATTTAAACTTATCCACAATTTGAACTTTTTAATGCCGTTTCCAATCGATCAGGATTTTTATATTTCGCGCACGTTTCAAGATCTTCTCAACCGAACACGTAAACACATCGACACACATTGGTTCATGACCCTGCATGATTATTACTATCGACCACGTTGGCAGCTTTTTGACCTACAGAACGATCCGAAAGAACTGGTCAATCTTGCGGGAAAGACAGAATTTCAAGATGTGTTCGAGAGCTTGCGACGGGAACTGCATCAATGGCAAAATGTCACGTACGATCCATGGATTTGTGCTCCTGATGGCGTTCTTGAAAACGAAGGAGCGTTTTCACCCATGGGAACGTGTTTGCCGTTGGACAATAATTTGTAAATATATATTTCAAAAAGGGTCACTTCAAATTTTAATAGCTAATATATGCATGAAAAATATTCTCAATTTTTGATTGGCTGAGAGTATTGAGATATTATTTTAATACACTAGACCTTTAGTCAGTGTATCATAGTCATACACAATGGTGGTTGTAGTTTCAAATTTTCATCACAGGTTGAAACAGTTATTTTAACTCGGAAAGGAGTATAGTAAAAATGATTATTATGAAAGTGCAAATTTTAAAACAACTTCCTAAGGCAAAGGTCAGTACCGTATCAGAGCATGATGTATAACTTATAATTACTTTAATCTTCATTAGTATATGGGATTATCAACTAACCCGACCGTTATTGGAGGTCCATGCAACCTTATAACATGTCAAGATTCTTATCAAGTACAAAATAACTGTGCCTTGAATGCGATGGATTTATCTTTTTATAATAAAACCAATCACCGACACCCATAAAAACCCCTTGCAGGATCACACGACGTCTTCACAATAATAAGATATAATTATAAGTAATTTGTTTTGGAGGGAAATATATTATTTGCGCTGATGAAGATTCGTGGTGTACGGATCGAAAGCTTTGCAGATTTAATTATTTATTTGATTGTTTTAATCCGTAATATTAAATCAGGGTGTTTTCCACAAAAACTAATAAATAAAAAACATCCCAAACATGTTTTACCTGTTCGATTGGGTAGCTTTGCTTCGTAAAATGTAAGTTGTATTCAACTGGTGCTTGAGATAAATAGCTCCATCAAAACACATTCTCGTTTAACTTTATGACTTTTTGAAATTGTGTTTGCCCATCTGAGGTCGCATTGTTTGCTCATGTCATTTAGTGGTTTAATTGAAGTAGTGTTAGCTCATGACTTATTCACAATCATGTAAGGACGCCACTCGACACCGACGCTATTAATCTTATTCGCATTTGCATGGACACTGTCTTGCTGCTTTGTAAGCTAGCAAGTAAACTATGAAAGGAAGTGAGAGGCAGGTTTCCGAAATCATCACAGTTCCAAGTTACCGGTTTTTAAAGGGAACAGAATTGCTGACCAAAGGAGGAAGGTCAAAGCCATCGGAAAATGGCTTAATAAACGGTACAAGTCAGTATAATGAGGAAATAGACCATGGCGATGGGAAGAGGTTTGGGAGAGCTTTTTCGTGCGGCAACGAAGTACGGATCCACAAAACGTTTGCGCATACATCTGGAACAAGCGACGCTCTTCGGGTTAACAAGGAGGAAATTAAGAACTTAATTGTAAATTTACTTAGATCTCAACTGGGATCCCTACGCTACGACCACAAACAATGTAACCAGAAGTGTTTGAAACTCAGCGAAATCATAGAAACAAATGTACGGAAAAAGTGTCCGGATTGCAAGATTGTTTCAACTGTTCTAATTGGCGCCCTACGTGACAAGGGTTCAGCGATAGCAAGTCAGTCGTTATACTCTGAACGTAGTGATTGTATGGCTCTAGCATACTATAGTAATCAGTCGCTCTTTGCCAGTGCCGCCGTATTTGTCGTGCGTTTATGACAGGCTTTATTTAATCAGGTGGCGATTTGCATTTCAATAGAAACTAGCTAAATTCGTAATCGAGCAAAATGCCAGAAACTTGAGGAATTTCTTAAGTAAATATTCAATAGAACTAATCTGTAATGGCAGAACGTTAAGAACCACGTATGAAAAGAGGGTATTAAACAATCTTTCACGCTTTTGTGATTTCATCAACTGAATAGTGAATGTCCTTATATTTAGTTCGAGATATGTTTTATTATATGTTTTCTAAATGCTGGTATGAATTTAATTTGTATGGGTAAATTCTAAGTTTTGAATGATTTTTTTAGAAATTTTTGAGGGAATGACTCATTGTTTAAAGTCAGTTCCTCACTTTTTTCTTACAAATCCTTCAAAACTTAGAATTTACCTATGCAAAATTCCTATACATATAACCTCCTCCGCAGGCACCCAGGGAATCGGTTTTTCGAACTGCCAGTTCGCGGAATAACCCAATATTCAATAAAACGGAGGAGGCTAATTCTTACTGTGATCACAGAAGTGTAAACCAGACGTTGCATGCGCCACGACAAAATATGAGACGCATAATACGGTTATATCCTTAAGAGCCCCAACAGGAAAAAAGGCAACAATACTGTACCTACATTGTTTGGTATATTCTTTTCAAGAAGAAGAGGCTAGGTAAAGCATATTGCGTGTGACTAAAGTTAATAGCTTCTCCATTTATAGCATGATTTTGAATTTAATACTCATCCCTTGTGATCAACTCATCCTAAATTTCCCGTATTGCCGTAAATTGAAATGGACACAAATCAAATTATTTTATTCAACTTATCATGCATGTGTAAACATTTACTAAACTGCGTTTAATTCATTGGACGTTGTCATTGATAAGTTCCACCGTGTTCCACAAGTACTCAAATACATGAACGTTATTAAGTTATCATCAGAGACTTATCGGCTTTACTGTGATACAGATGGTTACCATAGTAACATGTAATTACTCTAAGTATATTCCATATACAGTGGCTTGTGCAAACAATGTCTCGGTATAAAAACTTGCTGATGCATAACTATCAAAATTTTCGTTCCACAAACATCTACTGGCTACGCGGGCACTTTGCGATTTATTTTCTCCAATCAAAACCACGGTTATCAGTTTATATCTCTGTAGACCAATGGATTTCACTTTATCCTGGATGAGTCGGCTTAATGAGGGACACAGCTTGGAGCATTTCTCGCGTTCATATTTTTGATTCTTAAGATTTTCTTTCAGCACTTGCTCGACGACTTTTTGCACTTCCTGAACGGGAAATCTTCGATCAGGTTCTAGTTTGTAACTATTTTGAACAATTTCTGATCCACCTCCCGAGCCAGCGTACATGCTGAGTGCATCCCCGAATGTTGTTGAAGGTTGATAGCCGTTGTTTGTTGCTTCTCTGATTCGTATGCTTCTTAGGTTACTTGGACGTCTGCTTTCCTTGGAATTCATCGCAAACCGCCTCTAATCACTGCTTACGTTGTGAATTTGTAGCTCTGTATACTCGAAAAATACCGCTAGGTTTTCGTAAACAGCGTCTTGACACTCGCCACGAAAGTTTTGTCTTCTTAGATATCGTAGCACAACAAAACAAGACTTGCATATGTTTTGCTTTTCATAGTCATTTAGATAATGAAAGAGTAATTATGTGTCCCAAAGGAGCAATATAAGCGCTTTGCATTTGAATAATTTCAATACTGATTTGAAGTTACTGATTTAGTTTTCAAAACAGTTTGCGTATAGTCACGGGGGAATGTTCAGGCCCGTCCAGACCTTTCCACCACCGTTCAGGCAACATTTATTGTTGGTCCAAGCCCAAGATTTACGGCCAACACTGCAATGTTGTGATGGAAATTTTGAATAAAGGTAAACCTGATCAATACATCATCAACTATGCAGCTTGTCTTTTTCTGCTTGCCGCAACAGCAATTTTTGACATGAACCTCCGCAGGAGATCTCCCGTTTTTAGTGCCAAATTTTCCACTGTACGTGGATTTACCGGATCCAACGTCTCCCCAAATCGGAGAATATTACTATATAAACGTGCATCGTCAGTGTTAAAACAGACCCAATAATGTGTATCCAACGATGTAGAAAGATGCTGGACCAACATGCTCCACTGCGTCATGCATGTTTTTCAATTTCTGCAATTCTGGCTGGCCAGCCACCTTTTCGGATCGACAACGTAGGTTACACATGGCAACAATTGCTACTGTTACCACTGTCCACTTGTAGCCATATTTTAAGATCAATCAAACCAATGAATAATAATCTTGCTATATAATCGCCTAACTTTGAAAACAGTTTCAAGGCTTTCCCCTATATTGAACTGCATTTAACTATTTGTTCCATTAGCTGCTGGCCATGTAAATTTCGCTAGCGACACCTTTCATTTACGTACACACGGTTTTGCCAATCGAGAGACGGCACTGCATGAAACTGCATGCATTTAGGTAGACTTTAATACAGGTTCCAGCGTCATTTTGTGGCCTGAAAATTAATTTCTTCTAAAGGGAACGCCTATTATTTCAGGTAGTCCCAATACTATTACAGCTGCCTCTTATGTAAACACTTATTTGCAAATTCACAGTGCAAGGCTGAAATATGTCATGATAACTTGACAGTGCTGAAGGAAGGCGCAAAAACATGATGAACAACAATACTCCAAAACATTCTTTCTCACATGTCCCATCAGCTTAGAGAGTACGCATCAAAGTTGTACGTTGACTCAAAGGAAGTATAAAATTTAAACCGGACATTTGAAAAGAATGCTGTTCAGAGCACTGTTGTGTTTCAGTATCTTTCACATGGTGGCTGGCAGTCAGACAGGTAAGCGTTAGAAGTGCATGGTCTGTTCATTTTTTCACTTCATAAGTTAACGTAGGTTTCACTAAGCTCTTCCTGATTTTCTCCAACTGTAATGTTTTGCGTGTTTTTAGGATCATGGAAAATAATTGCTCGGGACATCTGCTTGGGAGCGAGAGACAATCATTACCAAGAGTTTGCGTACACTGAAAAAACCCCCACTTCATCATTGGCATGAAATTAGTGCACAAGTAAGGCCAGGTTGGATGTATTGGCGGGCGTATACAAATTGGGGTTGTTGGGATGACTTTCCTACAGATATCATAGTTACGGGCGAGGTTACGGACAAGAAATTACTGTATTCATATACTAGATAGCCTTAACCTTCTAAAATTCCCTTCCCATAGATCTAGTGAGAATCCCTTAGTCCACTGTTACACGAGGAACCCCTTGGTGGTTATGTAATCAAATTGGCAGGACTCTCAGACAACTGGCAAGTGCAGGATTGGAGGCAGGGCCGCCGAGAGGGGCAGGGGCAAATTGCTAAAATTGAGTAGGTTCTTTAAATCGGTCAGAGCATTTTTGAAATTGAGGGCCCCTTACAGTACCTCCACATGCAGTCGAGCTAAGGTTTAGTTGGGTCTAGCTTAAAAATAATGATGTTATGGGGCTCCCAGGGAAGAGTTGCCCCGGGCCCCGCGAATTCTCTCGGCAGCCCTGAATACGTGGCTGCGTGGAAGATCTGCACAGTCGAGTCTAAGTAAATTATACTAGGGGGTGGGGGAGGGCCACTTTTAAATATTTTCGTTCCCATATGCGGTGCTTAAACAGGTAAATATGGAATACAGTTGATGAAATTTCTATTTGACTGAATGTCGATTGTTTTTTAGATTCAAAAAACAAACGTATGTACCCCTCTTCAACTCTGATTAACCTGCGCCCAGATGATACGACCTGCCTGGCTACGGGCACAACTCTCCAAAACTCACGTTTTCCGATCCAGGATTTTGCTGCCTGTACAAAGGTCAGAAGATGAGAATCTGGTATGGCGAAGATCTTTACGGCATGGATATACTCTCATGGACGTATATGTTTACACTGCGAGTACTTAGTAACAGTTGTCTCGAATTGTTCCTCATGGAAGTGACTGCTTGAAAAGGACTGCTTTTTGGTTCTATAGAACGCTAGTTGCTTTTAGTTTTACATGATCACATCAACATTGGGCTAACAAGAATTTTCTTGAGTGAAACACTAGCTTTGCTCCTTTAGTTACTTTATATAAATATGTGTGAAGTTTTCTTTGTAAATATAGTCCCAGTTGCTTTTGGTGTACGTCTAACTTAATGTGAAATGGTATTCAAAGAAGCCTTCTACTGTTTTAGTAGTTTAGAGGCACTGAAGCAGCAGTCTATAAAGAACAAATGAAATTTTTAATATTGGTTGGATAAAAGTTTGAATCAATCCAACCAAAAATAATTTGAGGTTAATTAGCCCTGTGTGGCGGCTAGCGAGCTCATCTAGCCCGCGTGCAGGCCCACCGAAGGAAGGATAGTGGCCTCGGTGGACCTGCACGCGGGCTAGAGCTCGTCACGAGGAGAAATTAGGCCTCAGGAAGCAGAGGTTCGAACATTAATTCGACACGTAAAAATGACAAAAAAGTCTGAAAATATGAAATTATCTGGTATATCAGCGTGCACCAAGACTTATTTATTTGCAGACCACCGTGCCGTGGATCTCGACATCGGACGCTGATCATGATTGTTGGCAGGGCGAGCTAGTAAAAGTGCCCTAAATACTGGCCTTTGAAATCAGTTATAAACGCCTGCGTGGTGTTGGATATACAACACGAGCCCGAAGGCAAATCATATTGGAGGCAACTTGAACCTATTCCTATCCAAGGCTCTTGCAAACACTCCCGTGGACGGGCGTGGTTGTTACAAAATATTTACATTTTACAACCACGAGTGCGTTTTGTGGAGGTTTACAAGGATATACATACAAGTGACCTAATCTTCAAGAGCAAATTCGATGCAAAGCTGACATTAATTATACATGATTTGAAAATACTATGGCAAACCACAGAGTTCAATATAATTCTGAAAACATGGTCTGACAATGTCAAACCAACTCACGTTTTGGCCGGACACCAGCCTCCTCGCGGTACAATCTCTATAGGGTTAGGGTTCGAAAAGACACACCTTAGTTTAGATATTCTCACTAAGTAATGACTTTCTTTGCATATGTAACAAATTAGTAAGAAATCGTGTTTTGGTTTTGGAAGAATGAGGGTGAATTATTCAAATTAATGTGGCAAAATGATCGGCCATAATGTCCGTGAGAGCAATTAGTAGACGGCCATATAGACGTTTTGCTCGGAAAGTGGGCGACTACACATTACGTACAGACAGCAATTGACATAAAATTCCAGGTACACTATGTCACCGAGAGATACCAAGACGATGACGAGGCTTGGCACTAGCTTGCCGATACCAGAACCGCCTGCTTGCACTAACGATTTTGAATATTACTATTAGTTACGAAGAATTTGGAAAATCAAAATTTGGAAAATCAATCCGACGCCGTAAACCGTCTAGGACGCTGGGTAACGCCGCCTACGCAACACGGTTTTCAGTAAATGGAAAGGAGAATATTCCAAATGTGATTTTCCAAACGTACCCATAGGATTTCCATTTTAAATGGTAAGCATCTGAAGTCTGGGAAGACAAACTAATGAAGGCGGAAATGGAATAAAAATAGACACCATATTTGTGACGTTTCATTTGTACGTCAAGGTAATTGCTGTATCCCGGAACTATCATTTTTATTCAGTATTGCATGAAACATCCTCGAATATTTACTAGCACTGCGAAAACAGAAAGCACTATACATTTTAACTGTTACTCTCAACCACTTTTCAAATGTTTTATAGAAATGGTTGACTTCCCGGAAATTAAGCCTTGGAGGTTTACCGATCACACAGAGTCTAACTCCACAACTACATACAAGACACGACACTTTCCACAGAAATACACATGCGTTGCCATAAAAATAAATATATTTTCTATATTTACGATAAATATTTACGATACATGGTATCCATCAAAACATACGGCTGCCATATAATCTCGTTCATTGGCAAAAAACTTATAAAGTTCAACGTTTAACGTCTTTCTTAAACAACTTTTCATAAATATTTATCAGACTGGTTGCATTCTAACTAGCAGTACTCTTTACTTTGTTTTACTCTATTTTTGCAATAACGAAAAGAAAATAAAGATGAAAATAAGAGAAAAGAAAATATTAACCATTGCTAGAAAGAAAATGTTGTAAATATTAAAATTAAATAAAATAACAAAAAAAAACAAAAGGCAAAACCCATTTTAAGTAAATTTAATAAATGAACAAAACTCAAAAGAAACAAAACAAAACAACAGGATAAATATGTCTATATAGACAATAACAAATCATAAATTTATGCTAGCATAAACAAATGAAACAATAAAAAGTCAACATAAACAAAAGTAAAGATTAACCCAAAAAGTTAACATAAACAAAAGTCTGAATAGCACTACTACTCCTGTATAGGAACATCCCTACGTCATAATGACATCTGTAGTGTTTACTCAATGCACATGAAAAGCCCAAATAAATGAAGATTTTCTCAACCTTTTACGTCTCATATTGGTTCAGTTATAAGTAGTCAATATACTGGTTTTTTGTTTTTTGTTGGTTTTTTTTTGGGCTTATTTACATTTAGTCAAAAACATTTCAAAAACTACAATAGCTCTCATGCATTTTAATATTTACCACCACCAAACAATGAATCAACAGAAAAAAGCATTAAGCTGTTGAATACACAAGCACAGAAAATCTTCATATATTTTGCTCACAATCCATGTGTTAAATTGTGCTTACACCACATGTATGCATCAATGATGCATACCTTGGCACTCACACATTTAATGATGCATGGTGAAGGGATAGTGCAGCTTAATGAAACAAAAATATTCCCTACCAAGCACAATTAGTACAGTTTGTTAAAAATTCATGTGCTTATATGTTGTTCTCCTATGTAAAAATATTCTGCCACACTACATTCTAATTAAAAATGTGAAGAACAACCAGATGATTCCGAGACCTAACCTATCAGACCAAATATGGCCATAAAGAACTGTTATAGTGCAACTATCAATGTTTACATATATTTTCTAGTTTCAATTAAGATTATTCTTGTAAAAGCATTAATGCCATAATTATGTTTGTTTGAAGTATTCAATACTTCATCAATAGAGCTCATGTCTACACTTTTATATGACACTTTTGTTTTGCTCAATATTTTCATAGTATCCATTTCCATTTGGAGGAGACCTCAAAAATGCTTTTTCTAATCATGAAGAATCGTCATTACTTACATTTTCAATGCAACTTCTGGGCAAAGTTATCTTGCCAAATGGCATGAAGATAAGACATTGAAAGATGGTAGTAAAAACAAGGACTGTCTTGCATTTAGTACTTGTGTGGTGAACTTGATGTCACATAATAGTTTCCTGTGTGACTTCACTTTGTAACACTTATCTTTGTACCATAATAAGCATTTTTCAATATTGCAAATAAATCCTAATCCTATAATGATCTGAAATATGAAATCTAAAGAATTGGATTGTTCCAGAAAGGATCCACACTCCCCCCACTGAGGAAATTTCTGCCGTCCGAGGAGGGAGGAAGAAAAACTTGTTTCTGATAATAGTAAGTGTAATGTGTATTAGGATGTCTGAAGGGCAAGGGGGTCAGTGTAGATGTTTTCTAGAATGACCCATTCATTTATATATGTTGCATATCTGGCAAAGAAAAAAGGATTAATTCCCAGTGAGCTCCATATATATCTGGAGTAAGTACTCACATCCAAAATGAGAAGCCAAAGATCGCGGAAATTGATATCTATTGCACTTTCTATTGTTTTTGTCTGCATTAACACAATAACTTGATCAGCAAAACGATCTGTCAGAATTGGTAAATGGTATGCAAACTGTTTACCATATTCCTATGCATTGGACATCAATTGCAATACCAGCTTTTAATTTATGCATGCAAGGGGTGATGGGAAGTAAGGTATCATATTGCTGATTATGCTGAAACATTTCAATAAAAACTGCAGAAACAACCAAAATATTTCAATATTTACAACTATCACTCTGTGTTCACACGGCCACCATTCTTATTTTTCAGCATAATCAGCAATATGATACCTTACCCTGCATGCATAACTAAAAGCTGGAATTGACAAGCCAAATCACTGAAGTTCTTACTCCAGATATATATATAGAGAGAGCACACTGCTAATTCCATACAACCCAGCCTCCTCCACATGGCCATGAACTAATATCTAATAATATATACTTGCATGCTGATATATGTATCTCTCTAAATAAAATATCACACTGTTTGTATAAACTGCATCAGAAAGCAGCACACTGTTAAACACTTACTTATTCCTTGGTGCTTTAAAGGAAACTTGGAGTGTTTTTCCATGCGGCATTGGCTTGCCATTCAAACCACAAATGGCTGTGAAAGCTGCTTGATAATCAGGCATGTTTACAAACCCAAACCCTTTCGGTTTTCCCTCTGGATCTCGGACAACCTTGGTATTAAGGATCGCACCATAAGGTGCAAACAGCTCGTACAGAATTTTCTCATCCGAGTCCGGGGGTAAGTTATACACAAAAATGCACCATGTTGTACCATTGAACGAGGTACTGTGATTGGTTGATGCCATACTCATAGACATGGGTGCGCTGGGAACAGGATTCATAGGGGAATATCTATAGCTAGTTCCTTGTGGAAACACTGGACCAACATTACTATTACCATAGCCTCGACCTCGACCATTGACCATAGCATTATCACCATTGGGACTCGTCAACTGACTTTCAGGCATTCGCTTTTGTTTGTTGAAATGTGGCGGGTTAGCAAATTTAACCGTGATTTGCTTTAGAGCGCCTTCAGGAATCGTACCGTTTAGATTTCTTATGGCAATTTCAGCTTGAGTATGCTTATCAAAACGAATAAAACCCGCCCCACGACTTTTACCGTCCGGATGAGTGAGGATTTTTGATGTTATAATCACACCAAAACTGCTAAACATCGCTTCGAGTTCGTCTATAGACATCGTTTCGGGCAAGCCACTCACATACAAGTTGGCATTCTTGATATCAGAAGACGAGGGTCTCGCGTAGCTCACTTTAATGGTTTTATCTTGTAGTCTCAACTTGTCTAGTGTTCCAATTGCTTTCTTGGCATCATCAGGAGACTTGAAATTCACGAATGCGTAGCCCATACTGTGCTTGCTTAATTTATCTCGAATCAACTTGCACTCACAAACTTCGCCAACAGAACTGAACAGTTTCGAGATCTCGTCTTCGGTCATACTGGGCGGTAGGTAGTTTACAATCAGGTTGTTGTTCTGTGAGTCGTCCTCTTCGGTATACGAGTCCATCTCGCGGTAAAATAAGAAAACAGAAAAGCAAAATAAAACAAAAATAAATGAAGAAATCTCGAGCGAAATCCCCCAATTATGGCTATCTTGTCAGATGTTGTGTGTCAGATGTTGAGGGGAGCACGCTGCCTTGTCGAAATGGAAGGTCGATTTATCATTGAAACAGACTCGTTCATTGGCTGAATAAAAGTCGGCATACACCAATAGTAACACTTGTAAATCGAGGCAATTTTCCAATAACACAGCTTGCTACTTCATGTAAGACTAATATGAGAATGACCTTCGATCATCTGCCATTTTAATCAGGCCTCGTTTTCATGATTCAAATATCGGCTTAATAAAGAGCTTATTATCTCGTTACTGGTGACTTTTATTATATCAAGGTTTTATATATTATTTTACGGTAGGTTACAGTCCTTTCTGCGCTTGCGCGGGCTTTGTAATTAATTACTAAGATGAAGTATAATTTGATTAATTTGTGACAGAGGAGTGCAATGTTTCACAATACAGTTACAATACAGTCTTCCCTGCATTTCTTGTACATTTGTGCACTGAAATTTCTTGCACACAATCTTATAACTTTTAAGCCTGGTTCACACTGGTCGTAAGAATCGGGGATTTCCTTTGTCTGTGTCATTGGTCATCCTCGTACCCAGAGTCTTTATTGGTCATCCTCGTACCAGGGTCAGGTCCAGGTGGAATTAAAGTCCCTGCGACGGAGGTTGGTCATTGATGTGTAAAATGCTTTGTCTGTCGGAAAAGAATACAATAGATCGCCGATGAATTACGACTAGTGTCACCAGGCTTTAATTTAATTAAAAATCGTGAATAAAAATTAGACCGCTTAATTTGAACCTTGTGTGACTTTATAGATCAACAGTTGCAGCGGCGAACCGAAATGTGAATATTTCGTGCGGTATCACTCCCTCGAAACATGTTGCCAGAGTTGCATGTTGTTGCCATTACATTGGGCCATTCCATTTAATATAGGCACCCCCCCCCCCCTATTGAGGGGTCCCTTCATAATCCGCTTAGGATATAAAAAATTTATAACCCCCTTGGATGCGATTTTTGGAAGTTACCCCATGGATATCTTTATACCCCCTTTAGGATATCGTTTTTACCCCCTTGGATATCACTAAAACACCTAATTTTTGCTATTTTTTTGAAAATTTCTTAAGCTACCCTCCAGGAAAATTTAAGGTAAAAACCCCCTCCCCACCCCCACAGGATATCCAGACCTCTCAATAGAGGGGAGGGGGGTGCCTATATTAAATGGAATGGCCCATTATGACAGAAGCACTTGGGGAATTCGAAACGAAGGAATCGAAACAAGTGTGATTGCGAATTCCAATTAGCTGTATTCGATCTGTCTTCGTGAAAGGGCGAAATTTTCAACATTAGGGTTAGGTGTTAGGGGTTAGTGGTTAAGGTTGGGGTTGGGGTTAGGGTTAGTGTTAGGTGCCGCGAATTTATTATTATGATAAATTCAAAATGTGCCGCGAATTTATCATAATGATAAATTCGGACGTGTTTAAGAATTTACTCATATAGTAAATTCAAAGGTGGAGCTCATGCTGGAAATTTTTGACCGTGCCGAATTGGATAAACAATTTTTGTATGAGTTCGTGGGCGCCTGCATGGAGATGATTTGATGTTATATGGCAACATCAAATACTACAGAAGAGTTCAAGAGATATTGACAGAGACGAGACGAGACGGTAAGATATCATATTAAACTTTTTGTGTTATAAAAATGTATGTTTTGAAATTATGAACTGGAAGTATGAATTCATTGATATCACCCTCATATTGGCAGTAAAATAAAATAATAATTTATCGTATTTTCAGTATTATAAAGAATAACTAAATTCACTTTCTCAATTTACTGTTCAGGATTCCGATTTCTCTATACAAGAAAGTGAGAAAGAGGAGTTGCAAAACACTCGAAAGGAGAGAGGACGTGGTAAAGCTAGATGTCGAGGGGGAGAGTGAGAGTTCAATGTGGTGAAACAATGAATATATATAGTAATTCCGAAAACTGTAAACATTGAAAAGTTTTTATTCAAAAGTTTACCAAGTTACTATTGTATTATATTTAATATCAGTGCGGCCGTAGGAAGCTATTTTTGATTGGGGGGGGGGGGATTATTAAATTTAGAGTCTCTGAAATTCCATTTCCGATCCTGGACTTTGGGGAAGATTTGACAGAATTCTGATGGTCAGAAAACAGCGTTTTAGTATGTCGAAATTTACAATTTGTTTACAATTTAGTAGTACTAAAAGTGGACGAAGGCGTATCAATATATCCCGCATAAGTTGCAGGAAAGTATGGGTATAATATCTTCATTCTTTGCAGTTTGTCATGGATAATGTAGCCGCTTAAAATTAATCAATTGTCAGTATTTTAAAGCTACATTATTTAAATGATAAAGGTCTGCATGATCATGAAAAGATTTTGAAAAAAGAATGATTATTAATAAATTATTGAGGCTGCAGCCGCCAAGCGGTCAGTAAAACAAGCCCGGTTAGTAAAACAAGCCCAGACGCGGTCAAACGGCATAGCGATACAAGGTATATGTAGCACATAGGCGTACGGGCTTAGAAATTTAAGGGGGGCGGATGTCAATCTGCCCGACTAGCGGCGAAGGCGCGAGAACTGCTAGGGGGGTCCGGGGGCATGCGCTCCCGGGAAATTTTGAAATTTTGAAAATGCCATTTCCTGCGTTTTGGGGTGAAATAGTATGTGCCCGGAGCGAGCGAGGAACGAAGAGAAAATTAATGAAACAAAACCATGTCTAATGGCTGTTTTAATATCATAAATGTAACTTTTACCTACTGAAACCTAACCTAATCTCCCCTACAAGTTTATCCCGTGAATATATTATGAAAACTGTACTGTCAAAAGAAATGTGAGGAACGGTAACTTCGTTGGCCAAAAACATCAATGATTCTGTCCATATCATTCTCAAGCCGTGTTCTATTAGTATATGCTAGTTCCATACAGAGAAGAGAAATTCCTGACCCATTGTGGAACGAAGATACGTCCTCAACCCTAGCTTCGTTAAATACCCACTAAAAGATCTTTCTGCAGAACATCAATGACGAAGTTGGAATCGTTGCCAAGATGGAATTTGCTTTAAAGAAGACTGGAGTTCATCCATTGAAATGCCAGTGTATGAGTACCGTGCATCTGGTGTACCTCGATCTAGCGTATTCATCGTGCGCCTGGAGCAAGCTTATCGTATAAACTATACGCCCGAATACGCACAAAATTTTTAAGCATGTTTAAAAAGTTTTTCTGTCTCGTCGGGCCTCGTCGTATGCCAGCGTATACCAGCGTATGCGACCGTGCTTGAAACGTATGTCAGCGTATACCAGCGTATGAGTGATATTTTTCATATTTTCTTTAAAATGAAAAAGTCTCTTCACGATTCGTTGGGAGTAATGTCTGTTTAGCGCTAATTAGCGCTCGCGCCAATCAGTTATATTATGGAACATAACCAGTGATGCGAATGGAAAAGCATGTTTATTTTAATTATTTTTGTCACCTTTATGCAAGCATATATTCTATAGTTTGAATATTTTTAAATATTTCGCATTTTTACTATTAATAACATTTCTTTGTTGGAAAGACCAAATTGATTAGTCAGTACACAGGAAGATTGCCCGACTCTTAAGTCACAAATTGCCCGACTAATGAATATTTCTGACCGAACTGGGGGGGGGGGG